TTCGTAATCAAAATGTATACCTATTACGCTACTGAGGGGCATGGTTGAACTAGTATAAGGTTGACCCATGAGAAGCTCATTTTTGCGGATGTAGTTCGTTGTTCGCCCGTGACGTCACTGATCTCAGTGACGTCACGGGCATTAACCAATCACCGAAATGCGATCAAACCAATCCGTCATGGGAATGACGGGTTTGTTTACGTTTCTCTATCTCAGTGACGTAAAGACGGAACTTCTCGTGGGTCAACCTTATATAGTTCAACCATGACTGAGGGGTGCTCACATGGGGAAATAAGAATTATCCGTATAATAAATTTCTCGTCCGAAGTTAATGAAGCAGTCATTAATTCATCTTATTCCTAAATAATGTTATCTTCACGGTTGCGCGAGACAAGAAATCAACATTCTTCTATTATTTGCATTGCAACTTCAAGTTTACAGCACGACGCAGTCGTCCATGCTACGATGAAATCGTACGCTCAATTCTAATATTTTATAGACCGACATACATGTCGGTCTATAATTTATGTATTACATATTACAATTTACAAGCCGATTATTCCTGCTACCGACTGTGGTCGCATCTTATTGATTTTTATAGGCCAACATAGAATGTGTACATATTACAATTTTATATGTTGATAATCCCTGCTACAGACTGTGGTCGCAGCTCATTAATTAACAAAAAGTTCCTCTCGTTAAGTCAAAGTGAAATTCCTCAGAAACTGGCGTGTCGTCTGGTGCATCAAAGTATCGGATGTGGCATCAAAATTAATCCATACAGATAGAAATAATAAAGCCTATATTTCCCTGCCAGACCTCTTAGCATGAATGCCGTGAAATACAAGTCAACCAAAATCATGTACATGCTCGGCAAAATGAAGTAGGAATAGTAATTAAAATTCAACGGATCTGCGTACTCAAATTTCTCGCATTTCGGAAATTCTACAACCCGAATATTTAGACGATGTCGTAGTTACTTAACAGCATCCATAGGTACCAAGGTAAAGAATTCTGGCTGGTGTTGCAAAATGTAGGTCGTATTTTTTCAACATAAAAAATTTTCCTGTCGAAGAAAGTATAAACGAAACGTGAAGTATATAGGCGAAGAACCTGTGAACAGTAATTTTACTACTGAAAGTCGCGTGGAAAATATGAGCGGGAGAAGACAAGTTTGAGACTGAATTTTGAAATCCGTTAGTTATCACGTCAAGCCTGTTTAATTGGCGATACAAATTTTCAAGCAATCAAGGTACATGAGCATGAGAACTTGCAATGAAATCAAAATTGTTTTCATCTGTCAAAACTATGTGAAATCCTTCACTGGACCACCCAGGCATTAGGAACGATTCAGGAACCGTAGAGGCGGTTCCTGAATTCAGGAGCAATTCAGGAACCGAAATTCAGCATGAAAAAAAGCGTCTTTTCTTGGTCGTTCAACTGTACAAATAAAATGACCCCTATTATAGAGTATCTTATAGGACGAACGGAATAAGGTTGTGGCAATATATAATTGTTCAAAAATACACAAGTATAGTTGAGGGGTCACAAATTAGACTAAATAATAGGCTAAACACATAAAAATCCGTGTAAATAGTTTGAATTCATACACTTGATTACATAATTAAACAAATAATAGATTTATAAGTATAAAGACATTTTTACTTAATGTTGAGAGCGCATTAGAGAACAAACAAGATGAGCGGCAAGCAGCAGAGCCGAGTTAACAGATGGCAGAGGATACTCTCTCAGGAAATACTTGGAGGATACTCTCCCAGGAGATACTTGGAGGATACTCTCTCAGGAGATACTTGGAGGATACTCTCCCAGGAGATACTTGGAGGATACTCTCCCAGGAGATACTTGGGGGATACTCTCTCAGGAGATACTTGGAGGATACTCTCCCAGGAGATACTTGGGGGATACTCTCTCAGGAGATACTTGGAGGACACTATCTCAGGAGATACTTGGAGGATACTCGAAGTTTTCCAAATTGATCAAATTCGTGCCGAATATTGAAGGATTCCACGCGTGTTTAGTTTTTCGTGCACTTCTCCACAGTCAGGAAAGAAATAGCAAGCAAACAATTGGTGTTTATAGAAACACCGCGTCCTGAGATGCCAAGTTCGGAAGTGACTGGGACACAAAATGCATTATAGCTCAGGTAACAAAGTCTAACTAGATGATTAATATATAATTGTTATTTAATTATAGAGGAGATAAGGTAGCTCGGCATCAATCGACCACTCCGACACCATGACCATTTCTGCAGTCAATATCGTGGCCGGTGCAACTGTTGAAATTCACTTCCAGGGATCAAAAATTCTGGATGTAATACGAACCAAAAATTCAAATAGATCTACAAAAATAGGATTAAACGATGGCCTGGGTAACACATTGAAGTGATGGAACAAGAGTCTGATGAGAAGCAGAGGAGAAAATAGAAAAAGAGAAGGCCTGCTGCTGGTCTTTCACTAAATATTTGCAATAGATCTACAAAAATAGGATTACGCGATGGTCTGGGAAATACATAGAGAAGATGGATCAAGAGTCTGATAAAAAGCAAAGAAGAAAATAGAAAAAGAGAAGGCCTGCTGCTGGTCTTTCACTAAATATCAGCGGGAACATAACAAAACCCAAAATGTTATAAATGACTGCACGAAACACGGGGAGATTATGCGATTGATGCTTACTACAATATTCATAGCGGTACAAGATGTGAGATATATGTACTACTTATCAACGTAACGAATAACAGTCAGACATCATTCACATTACATTTTCATCATGAGAGTAACGCAAGTATCATCAGTTGGTGATTACCGCGGATACGTAGCACGTCCAAGAGACCTTGACACGTATGTGCAATACCGGGGGAATAGGCAAGAATAATACCATAGAATGCACCGACAATCTCACTAACAAATAATCCACATTCTGGCAAATTATGGAGCCCTTCATAAACTTTTTCTGGGGTATACACGACACGTCGCATACTCTTTTGTTCAGTCAAACTCGTAATGTAACCGCTTCTATTGAAATTACCCTACATAAAGTGGGAGTAAGAATAATATTGAGTTAGAGATGTGGCAAATGTCCACAAGAATAACCGTACAGCATAACCAACATTTGAAAATCCTCCTTGTGGGGCAACGTTGCCCGAACGCGCGACCAGAACAGCAGAAAAGAAATAGGGCAGCCGGGAGCACATGTGAAAAAATAATTCTATTTACCACACGTTAATCCGATGGCGTTTACAAGCAGTAATTAATACAAACTATGTCGCGAATTTGACCAAAGTTCTTGCCTTGTCACATCTTCAAGACTATGTCACGGTCGCTCAAGCTCTACAATTATCGCACTTTCTGGTCTACATTTCCCAATGAGTTTTGCTAATACAAAGAAAGACCATGACCAGATTGGCCGACTCTTGACGTACACTGAACATGAGTTCAGTGTATGATTGATTGATTTCAGAAACTTTACTTAACCGAAAATTTCCACGTTTTTAGACTCGCTAGTCCCGGTGCTGCGGCATACGTGTGGTTAGACCATACGTACAACTTCAGTCATGAATACCACTTAATAAATGAATCCGAGCAAATGAATCTTATAACTCAAACATCATACCAAAGAAATACTACTTTGTAAAGGTGATGTGATTAAATATATATTCTATAGTTAAATTTAAAAATTGTCATGACGCATCTCCCGTCTGAGTTAATCAAAATCAGATTATGTCAACATGACAAAAGTATATCGTTGAGCAGCAGATACCGAGGAAATATTTACTATTGCGAACGGGGGAACTTGCCAATGAATTTAGTGATGCATCCAACACTATAGAGAAAGTAGGTTGGTAGACACTGCGAGAGAAAATATAAACTACAATTCAATATCATTAACAAATCTAAAATAATTAACATAGAATCTAAATTCCGTCAAAAAAATTCTGCATTAATTCTAGGCTACAGTGGAAAAAGACTGCATGGAATTGAAGAATTGCTCTCAAGTGGCAGCAATGAAATCAAATAACTATGCATAAAGTTTGAAAAAATAATGACAAATTTATGGGCGAAGCACATGGATAATAATACGATAATACAATAGAAGGTAAGACAAGTCCTGGTACTTATTTACAGCGGGGAGCTCTGGAACGCGAGATTCTGCTGGCAAGTACACCTCTCTGTAACACTTCTGATTGCTGCGCACTCAACGCTTATGTCCTCAACGGTTCATAACAAACTGAACATCTGGGCCTATACTTTCAAAAATAGTTAAGAGATCGTAAGTTCATCAGCCAATCATTGACGGCCTTTTAAGCAAAATCCACCAATCATAGACAAGAAAATAGAGCGTAAGTACTTACGTTCACTTAGCAAATTTTGAAAGTATGGCCCCTGAACAATAATTTTGATAAGAAGAACAAGTATCTGCTCAAGACAAATGCTGCCTTTTGGTGATTATTGATCCCAGGAAATATGTAAGTAATTTTGAAATATTATCAATTGAAGCGACTTTCATAGCATGTCGTACTGGTTAACTTGCATCACTCCCGGAAACATTTGCAAAGTAAGTAATTTTGAAATAGTATCAATTGAAAAGACTTTCATTGCAGGTCGTACTGGTTAACTTGAATCACTCCTGGAAACATTCTCAATGTAAGTAATTTTGAAATATTATCAATTGAAGAGACTTTCGTAGCTTGTCATACTGGTTAACTTGAATCAATTACACATTCTCACAGCAGAAATACAAGAGTGCGAGATCAAGTGTGAGGAGGAAACAGGGTGCGCTTGCACACTTTAGCACGTTAAGTGCGGGACGACCCACGGGTGGGTGGCAGGGTCTTTTTTCCGGATAAATTCCGCGATTTAGTTTTTTTTCCATTGCGTTTTTCGACAAAAATTTATGATGGCAGTACTGCTTCGTTAAAATATGAAATGTACGAAAAAATGGAAATTTAATTTTTGCACCTGAACCTACAATTTTAGTAATATATTTTGAATTATAGGCCTTTTTAGCAGCGGACTTGGCCGTTTTTAGGCCAGCTGCCAGCGCTATGGGTCGTTGCCGCACTCAACGTGTTAAACAGATTACAAACAATGCAGGACAGACCAGCGGCCTCCACGTCGTCTCTCCCACGTCCGCTCACATATCACATGATGCTCCACAATTACGCTTATCTGAAAAACAACAAAATTATTACCTATATGCAAGTTTAATTAACTGCTTCTATAAACTAGCATTAAATGATCCTATACCATATGGTAGCTCTGGGACCATATTACTACTGGTGGGTTCACAAGGTTTGTTCTTTCTGATAATACTATCACTGTTCAAATCCAGAGAATAATGGAGGCGATTCCATAATTCAAATTCGTATTGACATTCAAATATTGGGTTAAAAATCCAATGCATGTTAAATAATTTCATATAAATGTTTCTTAAAAGTCATTTTTTGCCCAACAAAAAAATAAGACATGCATAATGCATATACATCAGTATGTAACATTTATTATTTGAGAATTATTTTAATTTAAAATCAATTAAATTGAATTAGCATAATTGATCTCAAATCTGTTTATCATTGGTGAACTTGACACTCACCATCATTAACATGCACAAGAGTCCTGTTTGTTCTGTTTATCATCACTGAGCTTGACACTCACCATCATTAACATGCACAAGAGTCCTGTTTGTTCTGTTTATCATCGGTGAGCTTGATGCTCACCATCATTAACATGCACAAGAGTCCTGTTTGTTCTGTTTATCATCACTGAGCTTGATACTCACCATCATTAACATGCACAAGAGTCCTGTTTGTTCTGTTTATCATCGGTGAGCTTGACACTCACCATCATTAACATGCACAAGAGTCCTGTTTGTTCTGTTTATCATCGGTGAGCTTGATTTGGTCAGGGAATTCGTTCACAAGGTCCAGGTCCTGGTCCTGAGCGAGGGCGTTACGAGCGATGGTCTGGAAGGCGAGCTCGATGTTGATGGCCTCCTTGGCGCTCGTCTCAAAGTACGGAACATCTGACTTGTTCTGGCACCACTGCTGCGCCCGCTTGCTTGAAACTGTCCGGTTCTCTAGGTCAACCTGCAACAAAAACTTATTTAATGGAACTGCATTTGTATATGTTCTCAATTTTTCTGTTGAAAATTTTCCAGAGATAGTCTGCATTATTTGAGGTTAACGCATGCCACAGAAGCAAAATCTACATTTGCCAAAAAAAAAAAAAAAATAATAAATTTAAATAAATGTAGAATCAAGATTTCAAAATTTAAATTTGCTCTGCGTATTCATTTTTAATTACAAAAAAGTTACAAATTTCACCTAGAATGCTTTTAAACCAAATTGTCTAAATCAGAGTTATTATTGGGCATTGCACTTGTAAAACTTAGATTATTTTACAAGATTTTCAGTCATTGCTGATCAGAACAGGACTCAAACGAAACCTTTTCACAATTTGGATACAAATTAATGACAGAGCTCAATACAGGTTCTCTTTGCTCCAACAAGATAATAAATGTCCCATTAAGAGCCACAATTAGGTGAGAATATATAAAAAATCAGAAATAATATGAATCAATAGCATTATGAAATTATTCATACTATGTTGTTAACATCAATGTTACCAATAAATAATGAAACCTTGAAGGGCAGCAAAATTGCAGAAAATTTTTTATAGGGAGATAAACTTCATTTGTATTGAAGCAAGAATTAACCTTATTTCCAAGGACAACAAATGGGAAGTTATCAGCATCTCTTGGAGATGCCTGTATGAGGAACTCATCCCGCCAGGAGTCGAGAGCTTTAAAGGAGTCAGGAGATGTGACGTCATAGACCAGCACACAACAGTCAGCTCCACGGTAAAATGCAACTCCCAGGGACTGGAAGCGTTCCTGACCTGCTGTGTCCCATATCTGCAACAGTCAAATGGTCATTTACTGTCTGTTCTTAATAGAAACTTGTTCTGTTAGTCTCATCAAAGCTCTTGAGTTATTTAAATTTTAACTAGGTACGTATTATTAAATAAGTAGTAACCATACTTTGTATTTCAAACGAAATCTAGAGAGTAACAAATCTCATTAATTCAGAACAAAATGTGTTGTATCTAAAATCAACATCATTTAAATATTTCAAAGACAATAAATTAAATAGCTTTTTGTCATCATAAAATTTGAGACAATCTCAGTGCCAATTGAAGGCGTTGATTTTTAACAATTATTAAATAAGTAGTATCCATATTTTGCATTTCAAACAAAATCTAGAGAATAACAAATTTCTTGAATTCAGAACAAAAAGTGTTATACATAAAATTAATATCATTTAAATATTTCAAAGACATACCTGCATTGTCACTAGTCTGTCATCAACCATAACTTCTTTGGTGAGGAAGTCAGCACCAATAGTAGCCTTGTATTGGTTGCTAAATTTTCTGTTGACAAACTGGTTCATAAGAGATGTCTTTCCAACTCCCGAGTTTCCTAAAATTATGACCTTTAGCAATGCTTTCTTGCGACCACTACCAGTAGACATGGTTTTTTTAGTTTCTTTCACAGCTTCAGTAATAAAGAGAATAATAAAGATAATGTAGCAAAATCTTTCTGCTCGAAAAGAACGAAAAATGTTCCATTAGGTACAAGCACATAGGTATATAGGTATACAATCTGGGTTCTTAAAATAGTACACACTGGGGCATATAATAAAAAAAAAATAAAATAATGCTAAACATTACATTTCATGCCACATTTATATAAATATTGCTGAGAAATTTACTCAAAATTGCTAAAAAAAATATGGTGCCTGACAATAAAAAAAACTGTAGTATGGAAGACAAGTACAGGTATTTATTTAGTCATATATACCATCAAATGGGGTAATAATGAACAGGCAAGGTAAACCAGGACAGTAGTACTCTGCCACTGCATAAAAATTTTATAGCAGCAAAACTATTTAATAAATTGCATAACTAAAAACAGTGGTGTAAACTTCAACATTTTTCCTATCTATGTAGCATAAAGAAAGTTAAGAAATCATACATTTACTAGCTCTAAAAATTCCCTGTAAAAAATAAAAATCCCTGAAAAAAAGTTAAAAAGTGATATTTTGATAAAGTACCTACTTCTGCTTTACAGTAAAACAAAATATTTGCCGTATTAAAAAATTTTGTTTACAAAATTTGCAAACATGTGTAGTCTTTAAAATTTAATCAACAAAATGTTTGTACCTCAATCCAATACAAAATGACAGCTATTTCTGCATGATGGGGTGATAAGGGACACCCCCAGAACAATATGGGACACCCCTAAAATGCATTTACAGTAGAAGCAGAGCCTCGGTTAGCAAAGGCTCCTAGAAAGCTTTTCACAGACAGACTTTGGTACCTAGTGCTACCTACTTCAGGCTACTTGTTACAAGGCAATTCATGTGACATTAGTTTCCACATTTTACTTGAAAATTCTCATTTCAGGTGCTGAATTTCACTTGTAACAAAGCATGGATATAAGGAGATACAACTTTTATGATGAATTAGTAGCATAAATGCATGTCTTGGTCTTTACATTAGCAATCAATTTCAATTGACTATTCTATTGCATACCATACATTCAATTGTAACTACCAATTGGTTCTAAAAGCAGTTTTGAGTGACAAATATTGCCAAATTATAATTTATTTCACAATTGTAAATGACAAGATAGATACTTTGAAGTTTATCAATGTTAACAGCATTGAAATCCAGGCCAAAACATTACATTTTGATATTTTTAGACATATAATGACCAGAGCTGGGCAGCGCTACTTAGAAATGTAGCGGCGCTACCACTACTGCTACATACTCTAAATGTAGCAGGCGCTACCGCTACACCCACTAGATTGTAGCGAGCGCTACCGCTACAGTAAAATGTAGCGCCGCTACAATAGCCGCTACAATGGCCAAAATTATTGAAAATCTCTAAATATTTATTGTTCTGCTATTGGGATTTACTCATTAACATTTAATGATAATAAAACATTTTTAAAACATATCAATGCAACTTTATTGCAATTAACCTAACCGAACTAGTGTGGGCTACCCCAGGGTTAGATACAGTAAGTAAAAGTTACAGTTATTTATATGTTTTACCTTCCCTACATGGATGTGTACTTTAATCTACCACTCTAAAAAATTATCCACATATACCTATAAAAATCAGTCTTTTATTTGTATATATGTAAAATAACTGTAAGCAAACTGAAAGATGAAAAAATACCTGTAAGTGATAACTGGTAACAACTTAACAAGTAACAACTAACATGTTGACTCTAGTAACAAGCTGAGGTTGACAACATTACACCGAAATCTTTCATCAGTTTCATTCTGTAATTTATATTATGTAAGGTATGTATCATGCTGGCTTTTTGATATTTAATACTATTAAATAAAATCTGAAGGCTTTATCAATAAATGTAGCAGTAGCGCTGTAGCGGCAAAACCTCGTATCACTACTTAAATATGTAGCGGGCGCTATCGCTACATTGCCTTAAATGTAGCGCCGCTACCGCCTACCGCTACTGAAAATGTAGCGGCCGCTAGTAGCGGCCATAGTGGTAAAGCAGAGAGTTTTTTTATACTCTCCCTCAGCCTCAAGTTTGTTTTTGAGTCCTATAAGTAGACCAGTGAAGTATCATGGATACCACATACCAGCATTATCATACATAAGAAATTGGCTCAAATCTTCAGTAAATGAGGAAATTAAAAATGAACTGATTCCAAAAAATCTCTGGTTTGTCACTATGAACTAGCGGCCGCTACATGTAGCGCGCTACTGCCCACCTCTGATAATGACTTAAAACCAGACTTCTATAAGTACTTTAATTCTGAAAATGTTAAATTTCTTGTCCATTTATTCATGGAACTTTTGTTGTTGTTGTTGTTGAACGATGCTGTCTAATGTTTATTTAATATGCCCTTTTGTCTTGCATGACTTGCAAGCATAGTGGCAATTGGCAAAGCAGATATTTTTAGACTCTTCCTCAAGTTCATTTTTGAGTCCTATAAGTAGACCAGTTAAGTATCTTGGAATCTAGAATCATAGTGGCAAAGCAGAGAGTTTTTTAGACTCTGTCTCGAGTTCATTTTTGAGTCCTATAAGTAGACCAGAAAAGTATCATGGATACCAGCATTATCATACTTTAGAAATTGGTTAAAATCTCGAGTAAATGAGGAAATTAAAAATGAACTGATTCTTAAAAATCTCTGGTTTGTCACTAACTCACTATGTCTAGAATTATCATACATAAGAAATCTGTTAAAATCTCGAGTAAATGAGGAAATTAAAAATGAACTGATTCTAAACAATCACTAGTGACTAGTTTGCCACTACCCACTAGGTATGCTTGCAAGAGGTGGTGGCCCATGGTGCCTGCCGCCTGGTGGTGCTAGGTAGTAGCAGTTAGTGTGCTTCACTAAAATTTATATGGTATTTTTCTAGAGATTTTTTTCCTTTTTAGATATATAATTTTCATTATGATTGAAGAATTTTTTGTGCATATTCCTATTTAGGGTGATACTACTGACTACTGACTCGCATAGTGGCAAACCAGTGATTTTTTAGAATCAGTTCATTTTTAATTTCCTCATTTACCTACTCAAGATTTTAACAGATTTCTTATGTATGATAAAAAAATTGATAATTCTGGTATCCAAGATACTTTACTGGTCTACTTATAGGACTCAAAAATGAACTTGAGGAAGAGTCTAAAAAACTCTCTGCTTTGCCACTATGCAGTACTGAGCAGTGATGGCAAATGGCAATGAATGGGGCATGGCCCGCATGGGGGTATCAGCATTCAGCAGAAATGGAAAAAAGGAATGGGTTAAAAAGAAAATAATTCTCATTCAAGTATAAAATCAAGCAATAGATCTCCATGGCATAGACCAACACACGTCACAACACATATTTTTCCTTTATGCATCAGTCTCAGCGTCTGTACTCTGTAGTTTAGTGGCTCAAAACGTGATGATCATACGGATGATACGCAGATACGGCATACCCATAATTAAGCGTGATATTGAATCAGCTGATTCATTGCTCCAATGAAAAAAAAATTAAATATATCAATAGGTATAAATGTTAAATGAGAATGCTCATATTAAGAAACAATTATAAATTCACTTCCCTAACCACTAACCAGTACAGTAACGTCAATTTAAAGCACAATTTAATGAATAGGACTAACAGCCAAAGCCTTGAACGATGCAATGTGCGCAGTCAGAGAAACATGACTTTGACGTCATGGCAGTGAATAGGTAGTAATAGTTAACAATTAAACGCTTAAACTTGAAACAATTCAACCTATCGAGAAGAAAAATGCATTAAAACTCTAAAATTTGAATAATAATAAATTATTGTAAGAAAAAGGCCTTCCTCACACAAAAACATTAAACAAAAGAACCACATTACTGGAACCTAAGAGGGGAGGAATGCACGAAGATTCAAGGTAACGACACACAATGCAATTTTGCATCAACGTCAAAACAAGATTATTAATTTATGAAATTAATTACATAAATTAGATTAAAGAGCCCGATGATCATTCTGAACCTTTCAGATCTATTAATGTTTATAAACAAAGGTCCTTTAATGAATTACGTATCGTTATAATAACGTTATCATTATTGAATAACCCACTTCCAATTCTATTTAGTGGCTGAACATCAAGAACTTACTTATATCTATATCTTTAGTAATTTGGTTGCCTAAATTATGGAATATTATTCAATTTGAGTGAGTTAGTTTTATGTTTTAAGCATGGCAACGCAAAAATATGGGGTTGTTCATGAACAATATTCACGATACTTTTCTTCTCATTATATCACATAATATTATAATTTCACCCAGATCTATTCGGAATTGACAAAATAATGCGTGATATAATTAGAAATTACATAATACGTACTGGTGCGTTACCTGTCGTGGAAGGCTACATGTGGTTAAGGGGGTGGATAGCTTGAGGTCAGCATAGCCCAAGTCCACAGTGCGATTCATATACCTTCCCGAGCGTAACGCAGCCGGGCATCTTCACGGCTTTTGACTTGAAGCAGTGGCTGTGTTGTGCAAAGCGGATTTACTGTTAGCCGGAGTTACCCACAGCTCATTGATCTGAGGCTATGTGTAGATATTGCATGCTGATGGTTGGCGTTGGGCCCAGGGCCTGTTTACGAGTCCATTTTCTTACCCACGGCTGCGCTCCCGTTTAAGGCAGGGTGGCCTAGTGGTTAAGTTGCAGGGCTTTAAATATTCTGCGATGTTAAAAATCGGCTATAGGCCTAATAAACGCTGAATCCTCTATATAATATCAATATTATGTTGTGCATGCACAATAAGTGTACAGGTTATACGAGAACGCGCCATTTTTCTGTTCTCTTCATTGTCTTAGTCGGCGGTTCTTTTTCTTGGAGTTGGTATTCCTCTTGTGCAAATTACACGTCGTGACGTCACCAAAGCCTGCAATTTTCAGTGACTGTTCATTATTAATTATTTCATAAAAGATTTAAAATATATTGGGTAGCTCCATGTTTGAGGGCTTCGAGGAGATTTAAGGGAGGATCTTCCAAGTTTTGTCCAT